GTGTGTGTGTGTGTGTGTGTGTGTGTGTGTGTGTGAGTGTACAGGTTTTCTTCTCCATGCACACATGTCGTGCTCCTCTCCCTCTTCCACTCTTTCGCTCTCGCTGTCTCTATACACACACGCACGCACATATATAATCAATGATGATTTTTATAAATACATGAATATACTTTTCTACTCTCCGCTCATGCATTTCCGTGTCACTCTTCCACACACACACACGCACGCACGCACGCACGCACGCACACACGTGTACGTTATTATATACTGTTATTATATTACGCGCGTGGGTGTGTGTGGGCGGGTTTATAGGAAAGCTAATATAAGAGCGAGGGAGCTAGAGTAAAATCAAGCGTGTTAGTTAATTTCCTCCCACTAATGACACGAGGGAGTATGTCCGTACTGTACTGTTCACTTGCATCTACCGTCGCGCAAGTAAAAAAGAAAAAAAGTTATTTATATAAAAAGAACATTTTCAATCATAGCGAACAGCGGCAAACGCACGCGAACGTTCCCACTAAGTGTTGACAAATTATACCTTTATTCGATGCGACATCTGTCATTGTTTAAAGGATCAGCATCGCTAATATTTCATTTATTAGCTCTAATTGCTCTCAGCGAAGCGCGCTTTCAGTTGCAAATCAAACGTAAGGTGATTATATAGCCTGAGCTAGCAGAGGACAGAATAGCGGTATTCATAGCGACCTTATTCCTTGGCAATCCGTAGCGGCTGCGTACGCGCGAGTCAGCACAGTTTGACAGGGAATACCGACAACAAATCATTCGCGTCTGTTCGCAGATGTGTCGACATCTCGCGACACGTCGACCTGCATTTTGGTTGATCACATCAATTGGTTATTACTCACTGCTGACCGAGCGGCAGCGACGGCTATATTTGGAGTCTAGACGCTCAGATCTTCGCGGTCGTCGTTCAGACGAAGCCAATTGACAGCTATTCACTGGCCGCGGGCGATAACTACATTCGGAACTACTAGTGGCAGTCACCAACGCGAGCGAAATTCTAGCGAGTTTTCCCGCGCGAACAATTCATTCTAATATCGCGTCTAATTTCGACTCGGCGAAAGCAGTGCTGGTACCTGTGTAGACGTTGGCAGCACAAACACACAGTAGAGAGTGGGTAGTAGCTTAGACTGGTACCTGTGTCGATTTTGGCAGCACAAACACACAGTAGAGAGTGGGTAGTAGCTTAGACTGGTACCTGTGTCGATTTTGGCAGCACAAACACACAGTAGAGAGTGGGAAGTAGTTTAGTCTGGTACCTGTGTAGACTTTGGCAGCACAAACACACAGTAGAGAGTGGGAAGTAGCTTAGACTGGTACTCTTCATCCTCGGCGACTTCCAGCAAGTAGATGAACGACTTCAGCACATGGGCTGCAACAGATTGAAGCTGTTACAGTCTATCTC